TGGTACTATCATTCTAGAACAGGACACAGAATGTGTGCTGTGAAATAGCGACTAAGTTCACACAGCCAGTAGGTGGAAGTATTGAGCCATATATACATGTGCCCCAGTAAGGTATGTATGTACGTGACCCACACACAGACACATGTACACACATACAAACATACCCATCTGTCTGTCTGTCTGTCTTTTACTGGAAGTCTTAGGGAAAGCTTTAGTACATCAATGCCTTTTAAGCCGCATTGTACTTAATTTAATTTTAGTGTAATTAGCCATGCTTACTAAATACCCAGATGAAATTAGTTTACTTTGGAACACCCTGCAGCAGATTTTCATGTAGGTGTAACAAGGGAAAAAATGTGCACGGTGAGAGAGGGTATGAAATCTAGGAATATATATGGAAATTGTTTTGGTAGTGACGGACACCAGCAAATTTAGGAATTAAAAATATCTGGCTCGCTGTGTCACGTCTAAAGATCATTTCCATTAACGCCTTTCCTTTTTGTGGAATAGCTTGCATTCAGCATGGCTTTATTTATCTTTCTCAAATTTTGATCACCTTTAAGTTTAACATTTGCATGTTTGATTATTCATTATCATTATGTGGAGTCCTACTAAGTATAAATTAGTAAGAGGGAAATCAAGAGTAAAGCGTGAAATAATAATTATAGGCACCACTTATTGAGAGTCTCTTTAATCCTTATGGCAAAGTAGGTCTTTTGTGCCCTGGATTGTCATACGGGATGAAAGAACATTCCAGGTGTCCATGGTCCAACCCAGGGTTTCAAGCTGGGATGGGCAGAGCCGCAGCCCATATGGGCTCCATGCCCAGCCATCTTCTAGTCGGCCTTTGGTGAGTGTATCACAAGGTGGCTTTTGATTGAAAAAGGATTTATGGTAGATTCTGATTCTAGTAAGACTTTTGTGGAGTTGGCAAATTGGAATTCCTTTCTGTCTTCAATATCCATTGGCATTAATTTGGACAAATATTTCTATATCAAGAACCTATCGATGATCTGGTCAGTCATCAGACTGAACCACCGAACATGAGGGGCCTCCAGACGGATGCAGGAGTTGATACATTAGAGAGAATACAGAATGGAAGGATCCATTTGGATGTTCAGGATCTGGTTTTACATGGTCAAAATCACAGAAATGTTGAAGCTTTTCTTCTCATTACTCACGTTTATTATCTTATGGATCTCTTCTCCTATCTGCATGGTCACTAATAAGTAAATGTATAAAATAAAAGTTCCTATATCATGAAACATATTTCCTCTTATGACATATTTTGTAAAATGATCTGTAATCCATGACTCAGTGTGTTTTACAAACATGAGGAAAAACAGTTTCTCTGTGCATATATGTATAATGAGCTGACGTACTCATGTCTTTCTTTTTTTTCTGAATTTGGCAGCACACCTTCTATTCATGTGTAGCTCTAACGACAATAAAGACTAAAGAACCACTCAGATCTCTCTTTCATGCACTCACATTCATTGTAGACAAGAAAGCCGTGCCTGATTTATGACTTGTTCAATTCACTCAGGAGTGACAGATTACTAGTTTGTGGTGAATTACAGTTTAACAAGAGACAGAACTTAAATAATGGAAGGGAAACAGTATGCATCTTACTATACTGCCTGGTGAGATCCAAACATCCCCCACCTCCAGATTTATATCTATAAATGCGGGAGATATTTGGCTGTCTGTCTAACGATGATTCCAGCTCTTTTATTGTCTTTGGAAAAGGAACAGGATGCTGGCTGAGTTTCAAAAGGCTCTGCTTTCCAGGAAATGGAGTGTCCTGGTTTTACAGCAGGTCCCACAATCAGGGACCCGTCATCATCCTGAAGGGCCACTGCGGGACAGCAGGATGGGTTTCCAAGTGTCAGTTAGCTCCCTGACTAAATGGACCTACACTGTGTGGTGGATTCTAGAACAGCATATACTACACACCAAGCACAAATTCTTCCCCATTTTCTCAGTCGGGAAAAATGTGTGTGAGCATTTCTGTCTAAAATGTGCTTTGTCACCCTATCATACAATTGTTTTGGGGGGTTTGGAGAGCTATTGGAGGTTCTCTGTGGAGAGAGGAAGCTGTGGGCCTATCTGCATGGCATTAGCCAGTGTCCCCGTTCAAGGAGACATCGGAGTGAGATTATTCAGTGGAGCGGACGATGAACGTGGAATAAATGTCCTAACCGTTGCTCCCTGGCTCTCTGGGGCTGTGGGGGCACCATTTGAAACATCATCTCTGGAGTTGGGCAAATGCTTCCCCGCAATACTGTTGCCTGATAAGCCCTTGGATTATTGGCTCCTTCCTCCCGCTTTCTCTTCTCTGTGTCATTCCTGATGTTCCTAATAGCTCCAGGGTAAATTTCATCTGGGCATTTGTCTTCCTGAGTCAACCTGTTCCCCACTTTGGTTTCTAAAGCGTTGTCCAGAATACTAAGTTTTATTCTTGAATATTGTTAATATAGTCAATTGTTCTCTTGCAGCCATTGTGTTTTTTTCGTTTTTTTTTTTTTTTCAATGTAGTGTAATGGTAAGTGCCTAGGCTCTGAGGTCACACTGTCTGGATTCAAGACACAACCCCCATCCCATGCCCCCCATGGCTAGTTGTGTGAACTTGGGCAGCTTACTAATAACACAGCACCTACGTCTATGATTCCTGTGAGCTTAACGAGCATGTGAATGTGAAGCCCCGAGTGTAGGGCCTGGCACAACAGCATTAAGCACTCTGCAGATATTTTTAGATTACAGACTCAGCTTTGACTGGAAGAAACCGTGACAGATCTTTTTATCTTTGTAGCTTCTCCTTTTCTTGCTCAGGACTTCCTAGAGACACATACTCTGGTCTCCAGGCAGTGTGTCCTCAAATAAGTAGCAGGAAAACAGGTCTTTGTGAGGGTATTTGATAAATTCTGTGGACTCTGCCCGCACCTCATCCACGTGTGTTGGTGACCATGGCCCCAGGCTAGACACACCCAGTCCTGTACCTTCTTTCTTTGTTTTCTCCATCTTAGGTCAGCTCTGTGGTTGTTGCTGTCATGCTGATCATGATAATTTTTGTCGTTTGTTTTTAGTACACTGATCAAACTACAGTCTCTTTGTAGAGCCTAGGTACAGGACATACTCTGAAATGGTTTATTTAGTCTTCTCTTTAGAATTAGACATATAAGCGAATATTTTCTTTAGAAACCAAATATAGTTTTGTAATTATTCCATATCTTTGCTTTTGGGTCTTCCTCAATGAGTCATTCTTTTTTGGAGGCTCAGTGAACACAGATTCAAAAACTGCCCCATTATTTTGCTGTATGTCCCAAAACTCAGGTCACCTCCCGTGTCTGTGAGCATCTCTCTCGGATATGAAAGCATACTGTACAGGAAATGCATTTAACTTCCATCTCATACACTTTAATGCAATCTACTTTCCTTTATACCCATTTCAGGCTAATGCAACAGTGATCTAATAGGATGTTTGACAGTTTATAAGTGAAAAATAGCCCTTATGGAAGTCTCTATTACTTGATGTAATTAAAGGACTTAAGAACAATATCATGGACTGAGAAGAACGCATTGCATGTACAACGTACACAACCTAGAGTCATTCTTACACCTTTACAATGTAAGGTCGAATTAAAATAAGACATTTTGTGATGATATCTAACGTGTGTTAATTGAAAATTGGCAACAGTTTTTTGGATAGACGAGTAGTAGTCAACGCCACCTCCATGTCTACATTCCGATCTGGGTGAGCCTGCTGTGTCTTACTTTTCACGTTAATGGGTTGTCCTGTAGCCAAACATACTTTTAGTAGTCCTGCCAGTGACACATGTGCTTGGTACAATCTGATTGGATCTGGCAAAGTACAAGGCCAACTGAATTACCCCCAAAAACTAATTGTCCCTGAAATGTGTCCCTGTGGATATAGTTCTTGTGTGTATCTCTCCATTAATTTTGAACACAAAAGGTTATTGCCATATTATTGTAATGGCCATAAAATTCAGACACTTGCTAGTTGAATCGAAAGCCCCTAGCAACAGAGGAGAGAGTAAGAATCAAACCTAGTTATTAGAATTTTTAAAGATAAATGTTAGGGCATATCCGTGTCTGAAAGGGTATCATTTCTGTCATCAGTGGACTCAGACAAGAAGCTATGAAGATAACGCTTTGAACGCTATATGTGAAATTCAGTGACAAACTATCAAATTCCTAAACTCCTAATGAGCTTGGTGATTAAGTAAAGATTTTGCCATCATTTTGTCATTTCGGAATCCCTATTTTTAAGCTAATTACAAGACTGGGAAGCTGGAAGGCAATGACCCCATCTCCATATACTCCCCTCTTTCTACGTGGATTTCCCAGCCACCCAAAAATAAGAAAATAAGGGCTGGTCCTCACAGTTCCATGGTCACCATAGTAACTGGAATTGCCAAAGCGAATTCAGGACACTAACCTGATAGTTTCGATGTTTGTTTCAGTTTTCACAAACGAAAACCATCTTCAAGTTCTCACTAAAAGCACATAAATTATGTCAGTCATACTCCTGTATACAAGTAAGATCAAAGAATTTTGTTGTCTTCTACACAAACATGATACTAGACTCCTATATTCTGAATCATATTGCGTATGTTTGATCTCATTTTCTCCCACGCTTTCTGAAGGTCACGTGAGAATATATAAATAACTAGTGTATGTTGCTTTCAAGTGTATTGCAAAGTTTTGACAGCATTAATGGTCTGTGACTTGAGTGATGCATTCAGTCAGGATGCTTTTGTGTGGATTCGTGCAGGCAGTTTCTTGTCACTTGGAACTTGTGTCCTGAGTTCTGCCCTTAGCACAGATCACTGAGCTGCTCACGGGGCTCTTGGGCGTCCCTCCGAACCTGGGTGTTGTCTGCACAAACCCACGTCTCCTTGGACAAAATACTGAGGAGGTAAGACATAAAGAAACATCAGATGAACGTTTACACTTTCCTTCTTTCCTCTGGCCTCCAGAACCAAACTTCGTGTCCTCTTATGACATCGGAAATTTCACCTACTTCTTTTTTCGAGAAAATGCCGTGGAGCACGACTGTGGGAAAACCGTGTTCTCCAGAGCTGCCCGGGTCTGTAAGAACGACATTGGGGGGCGGTTTCTGCTGGAGGACACCTGGACCACGTTCATGAAGGCTCGTCTGAACTGCTCCCGGCCCGGGGAGGTCCCCTTTTACTACAATGAACTGCAGAGCACGTTCTTCCTGCCTGAGCTGGATTTGATCTATGGCATCTTTACCACCAATGTGTAAGTAACTGGAAAAAAAAAAAATTTCTGTCCCTGCGCCTCTGTTCATGGTGAATGAGTCTACTGTGCTTTGACCTTTGAGGTTGGAAAGTTGCTTTAAAAGAAATCTTTCTTATTTTACTGGGCTTATGGCCAAATAAATGTTTGAGTATGAACTAAATATTATGTAACAGTAATGTGATTTCTGAGACTGGTATTAGGAGAATAAAGTGAAGCAAAAAGTTTCAATCTATCCTTTGGTAATTGTAGCATTAACTTAATTTGACTATTAATTTCTCCTTCCTGATTTGCTGGTGTGTTCTGGGCACTTTCTGAAATGCTGGCAAATAATCAGATGCATTTTTTTTTCCTACATGCAAGGCATGCATTTGTGCATAATGAAGGCAGTGTTGTCTCAAGAGTGTGATCTTTGAGATAATGTAACTCATGCCTGAATCTCTGCTCATATGTGAAATGCACATTCTCACTTTCCTGGAGCTACGTTTTAAACCATTGTTCCCGGAGATGGATAACTTGGGCAGGCATTTCTAAAATGATGATTATACTTTTAAAAAATTCTTGAAAAACCTATAACGTCTTTTTTCTTCAGGGGAGATACTCCTAGCTCCAGAACTGACGAAATTTGGATGAGGGAAAGCATGGGAAGTTTCCTGGTCTTTCTTTCACTCTTAGTCTGGAGGAGTATGGCAGGTGACCCACACTTATTTCCTATTCTTAGCGGCTGTGCCCTGAAAGACTCATTAGGATCACACCCCACACCCAGGGGCAACAGATCGCTTTTTCGTACTCAGACTCTGGGTTCCCTTTTGCTGGTGGTAATGGTGGTCTGTAGTGTAGGCTCTGCTTTGGACCGTCTTTGAAATCTCTAATCTGGCGACCCAAGAGTCCAGAAAACCTGAATCAGGGTGGGTTGAAAGTACTGATAAAGGGGATAGGGTGAGCAGCCATCCTGGAGTGTCTGGGATTGTCCTGGTTTCAGTGTGGAAGGCAGCTCTGCATCCTGGGAAACCTCACAGTCCTGGGAGAATCGGGGAAGCCTGAAGAAATTGCCAGAGACTCACTTCATCTGCTCTTCCTTCCCTGTTACTCTTTCACTCTTTCCCCTACTGAGTTTAAATGTTAACAGCTGCTTGATAATAACATTTATTCCATGAAGTCTTCTTTCTGACATGAAGTTAGAAGACTAAGACAGAAATGGATGGCTCCCCACCCACCCCTACCCCACCATGACCGTCTTATTGTAAACCTGGTTTTCAGCCCTAGAGGTTATTTTCCCTCCTTGATAAGTTTCTTTTAAAAGAATCAATTTATAGTTTCTGAAGTTGATTTGCTTTCCAAAACCCGGTTTAAGAAATAGTATTGGCTGCACAAGATGGATGTTCAGTTGCTGAGTTGACATCAATTTTACACACAATGGGAGCTTGGCTTACTTAGCTGTTCATTCCCCTGGCTCTGGGCAAAAATAAACAATTTAAAAAGTTATAGAAGTACTGTGTCTGGGCCATTCCAATGGTGAATGGTCAATTTAGAAACTCGCAAAAGTAAGTTTCAGAATATTCCATTTGATTTGTTTAGTGATGCAGATGCCCATCGTGTTGGAAATCCCCCAGTATGTAGCCTCTATACTAGGAGAGAGAGAATGGCTAGATCTTCCCTTTCTCTCTCGAACACCAATTCTCACCAGGTCTTGGGGACCCCTTTCTGATACATCCATTCCTAGTCCCACAATAGACCCCACCTCTCCTTCCTCTCATATCTCAGCCTTGATCTTACCCTCTGGACAGATGACCACGTTCTCAACAAGATTTGCTCCAGAGTGAGAGCAAGGGATGATCAGAGGTAGCCAGTTACTGTCCGGCTCTCTGTTGGATGGCTGCATCACGCTGTGGCTAAGCTCTCTGGTGCTTCTGTCATAGTTTTGGTTTGCTTCTGTAGACCCATCATGGTCTCTTAGTGCTGGGGAGTGGGACGAAGGTCACCGTTCTACCTCCTTCTACCTCAGGACTGTGTGGTTGTCTCACCCCCTTGGCCATGAGTCGGGCAGCAGGAGATGCTTCACTGTGGGGTCTGCGATGGTTTTACCATTTTGTTCCCGAATGTCTAAAAATGGAGGCTCCCAGGGGGCAAAAACCAGAGCTGTGCTCGAAAATGCAGATTTACTTCACCAGACAATATTTTGCTGTTGCCACACTTCGTGAAAGGGCACTGAGCTCCTGCGAGCCTCCCATTTACAGCTCCCTCTGCGGAGCTTGAACTCTGATTTGAGGTTTCAAGATTTCCCACATCAAATTTTTCTCTCTGACCCTTTGAATTTAAAATGCTTTTTAAATTAAAAAAAAAAAAAAGAAGAAGATAGGAAGGGTCTCTGACAGGCAGTTTTTGCAAAGTGCCTTTAGTTGGTTATTTTTTGAAGGCTTACAAACACCACTCTCTGGGGGTTTAAAAAGAAATGGCTCTAGGAGCAGCATATCCCACTGCTTCTAGAGGAAGCAGAGAAACGGTGGGTCGAGAGCCACGCTGGACCGGGGAGAGGCAACGGCCCCTGGAGGAGAACGTCTGCTTCCTCCAGAACTTAAAAGGCCTCCCACGCAACTCTTCACAGTCCTGTGTCCCTTTCGCTGTGGCTGAGTGAATTAATCCCGTGCTTCAGGATTAGAAATGTCATAACTTGCTTCCGCAGCGACGTGCTCCCTCATCCACAAAGAAGCCCCAGACGCACACCAGGCCCTGCTTCGACTTCATCCTTGGGGTGTTTGGGAGATGGTGATCTTGAGGTCGTCCGGAAGGCGCCTGCGCCGTGCAGTGTCCTTGCGGGGCTCTCTGACCTCCCTCCCCTTCTCTCTTCCTCGGCCCCCCCAGGAACAGCATCGCTGCCTCGGCCGTGTGCGTCTTCAACCTGAGCGCCATCTCCCAGGCCTTCAACGGGCCCTTCAAGTACCAGGAGAACTCACGCTCCGCCTGGCTGCCGTATCCCAACCCCAACCCCAACTTCCAGGTAATTTCAGCGGGGGCAGTGGGACCCTCGTTCCCCTAGAAAGCAGAACCTCCTGTAGATGGGCCGACACAGTTGAAACCCCAGCGCATGCAGCCTGCAGCTGGGAGCTCCCCCAGTCCTCACCCACAGGCCTGCACTCGGCTTGGGCTCATGGAAGTGGGCCGAGGCCTTTTGTCAATTGTGGTGCCGGGGCTGAAAAGGGGCCTTTTGTGGGCTGGGCCGCCGGAGGCTGAACTGAAAAAGGCCAGCATAAAGCAGCAGGCTGGGCATCCAAGCTTTAGTTAGTGCTAATGATGGTGGACTCTGTGTCCCTAGAAGCTCTGAAACTTAATGAATGACACCATAGTGAATGGAGCCCGGGACACAGAGCAGTGGAGACGCACAAACAGAATTAGAGCCCTAATTGGTGACTGTGGCGAGATTTCCTGTCAGGGTGAGCAGGATGTGATGGTGCCCCTGGGGGGTGTGTGGGGGGGAAGCAGAACAGATGGTGGCCATGAGTTTATGAATCACAAAATTACAGGATGTTTGAGCTATAAGGGGCTCTGTACGTCATTTGCTCTCATCTCCCAATTTCAGAAGAAGCTGAGACCCAAGAAAGTTAATGTGATTTTCTCACGTTTGGTCAGTCAGCAGGTGTATGAGTCTGCACAGGCCGCCATAACAAAATGCCCCCGACTGGGTGGCTTGAATGATAGACCTGTGTTTTGTCACAGTCCTGGGGGCTGGGAGTCCAAGATCAAGGTTCTGGCTGATTCAGTTTCTGGTGAGCGCTCTCTTCCCAGCTTAAACACGGCCACTTCTTCACTGTGTCCTCGTGGGGCCGTTCCTCGGCGAGTGGGGAGAGACACTAATCCTGTGGGATCAGGGCCCCACCCTTGTGACACCCTTATGGCCCCATCTCCGAAGACAGCCACACTGGGGGTTGGGACTTCGACCTGTGCATTTGGGGGAGACACGAACATTCAGTTCACGGCAGCAGGCTTCCCTTGAGGGCCTCCTCCCTTCTGACCAGAATGCTTATGGGATCACCGACATCCTCCTCACGGGTGTAATTCTTAGGACCACCACGTTCCAACTCTGCGCTCGTCATGGTGCATGCTAACAACGGTACCGTGGTCAGTACCAAACTCTCCCACAGACAGAGAGCGGCACTGAGCCTCAGTGCAGGTAATCAGGCCCAGGACGTTGTCGGAATCGCAGCTGAGCTGGGGTCTCAGACTCAGTCCTCAGATGCAGAGCCCCAGCCTCTTCTGTCTAAAAGACCATCAGTTACCCCAACGAGTCAGTGCTAGAACCGTCTTCTATACTCAGGCCTCCACGTTCAGGTTGGTTTATCAGCTTAACACATTGGCTTTTGAGAAAATTTGGGAATATGGAAAGGTTCAATTATTTTATACTTTACTTGGACTTTGGCAGGAACCATTCAGCTCTAATTGTTTTGAAAGAAGGTTTATTTTAATTTAATTTTTATTTACGAGCATGGGGTTTGAGGTAGATGGGAGGTTTTTACATGCCCTTTACTATTTCCTGGTTTACTTGACCATTCCCTTAGCATCTTCCATCTCTCATTTTCACCAGTCAGATGAGGAAGGTGGGATACAGAGGCCCAGGAATATTTTAGGGATAAATTTTGCTAATATTGATTAATGTGCCTTGCTGACTGTAGAATGTATTTGGAGAGGATGACTCTTAGGGGCATTTATTGGGTGTCACACATTGTGTTAATGCTTGATTATATGCTTGTTGCTGTCTCTTCTCCCCAGTTCTGTAAAGTGGGCAGCACCATCTGCACTTTGTAAGTCGGGAAACCGAGGGATCAGTTTATGTGTATTATCCCAGCCCTGCTACTAAGAAAGTTCAGTACTAGACAAAGAAATTCCTATTACGGGTCAGGCGAGCTAACACTTTAGCGGGAACCGAACCTGAAGGAGCCCCAGGTCCTCACAGCATAGACCGTTTATGTCATCATTAGCTAAACGCTGACTCTTTGCCCCTCTGCTGAGTCTCTGCACCCGAATTCCACCCTGCCCCCGGATGCCGGGGTGCAACATTAACTATTTATGAAAGCCCTTTGTAAAATCCTGAAAGTGAAATAGATCATCCCCTTTAAGAAAGTTCTTTGTAAAATCCCGAAGGTTAAAAAAAAATTAACAAAGATGCTCACTAAATTTTTAGGGTACTTGTAATGCCTGGATGTTTCTATTGCAAAAGTCTTCACAATGAACAGTGACTTAATAAGCCCGTGATGCCTTACCACCTTCAGGCAGTGGATAACTTCTAGCCCCTTTGTCTGAATATATTTGTAGCACACAGCAAAACCCCTCATTGCAGAAGGCCACGGGCATCTGGTTTTATAATGCCACTGTCACACTGAAGGGCTTACTCACGTTTATGAGATGGGAGTCGGTCTGTGCCATTGAACCAACGAAGCTTGCAGAGATGGGGCATGCGTTCTGGGTGGGAAGCTTGCTTAGCTAGGCTGAACTTGTTTGGGTAGAATTTAAGATTTGCAGGGAACGAAAGTTATAGATGATGATGATTCCTTGTGTAATTTCTGGTACAAATAAGTCCCAAGGATTTTCTTCCAGTTTACCATATTTGATAACCGTGTTAGCAACGGCATCCTGACTGACATTCGTGAGACCATCTAGCTGGCACAGGGTGGGAATACATTTTGAACCAAGGATCCCTCCAGTAGTCGTGTATAAATGGCCTTCTGTTTGCGGTAACCAGCACTGAGAAGTGGTTCGATTTTTTTTATTATTATTATTCTTGTTTGCCTACTGACATTTGGAATTTTATGCAGCACTTGTAACTAGAACCAGCAAATTAGTTAGAGGAGCAGAAATGTGATTCAGGTTCAGGAAGAAGAATGGGTTAGGAGGGACAGTGCATCATTTTTCAAGATTTAATACAGAAATCTCAATATTGAAAACAATAACAAAACAGTGAAAAATGTTTAGTATTTGTATCGGTTGCCATCTAGAAACCACCGTAGGCAGTGCTGGGAAAGCCTACCTGGTCAGAGCCTGCACTCCCCAGAGTCATCCTGGCCCTGAGCTTTGCAAGGAAGAACATTGGTCAGTAACAGGAAACACCATCCAGACCCAGTGGACAGACTCCAGAATTTTCTGTGCAGTTTTGATAACCATCAATCAGAAATGATGGAGCCAAAATGGAAAACAGACCCTTAAAAGTGGTCAGGCAGATGAGGAGGCCATTGCTGGACCAAATGAAGGGGTCGGCTGTGTCATCAGGACCCTTTGATACACAGAGCAGGTTTGCAGCAAGATGGGAGGAAGAGTGCCATTCAGATCAGGCACTCTAAGCATGAGGCTGTGGGTGACTGTGGACTTGCACAAAGCTCCGGCAGGCCGGGATGAGGATGGGTCTATTGTCTTTGAAACAAACAAAAAAGCAAATATTATTGCATTAAAAACGTTAGTAGAATGATGACTCTTACTACTCTCAGAAGCGTTAACAAGACAGCCACTGTGGTTTGTAACACACTTGAGGACAATGACTCTTTGTATTGTTTCCCTCTTGCACCGAGTCCCCAAGGTGTCACACAGACACTGTGGGAACCCAGTGTATAAGGCACAGCTAGAGAATTTGCAGCCCCTTAGAGAGCTAGGTGGGTTACTTACGAGCCAATAAATATATACTATAAATCTAAATAGCTTTCAAAATAGTTGAAAAAGAATCCTTGGGTGAGATATTTATTATAGGCTGGCAAAATAAACCAAGATGTTATGGAGTATAGTTCAAAATTAGTTCTTGGCCAACGATTTTGTTACCCAATTCCAATGTGTAGGAGTCTTCCGCACACCACTAAGCAGTTTTCCAACACCATCTGGGTGTCCTACGAGGCAACTCAGTTCTGACACCATTTACCAGGAGATAGCATCAGATCTCACAGGTGCAAGGATCAGTCCCACCAGGCTCCTACCCACCCCCTCGCCACTTCAGATGCTGATCTTAATTAAGTCCAGGTCCTCCCCTGTGCTTCTGATCCATTAGTTATCAATGGGAAGTTCCAGTGACCTCCCCCTCGGGTTCAATTAATTTGCTAGTGGGGCTCACAGAACTCAGAGAAACATTTTACGTACTAGAATTACCCGTTTGTTATAAAAGGACCTAACTCTGGAACCACCAGCTGGAAGAGATGCACAGGGCAAGGTCTGGGGAGAGGCACTCCATGCCCGCTCTGAGCGCCACTGCCCCCAAATCTCCACGTGTTTACCAACCTGGAAACCATCTGAACCCTGTCCTTTTTGGGTTTTTATGGAGGCTTCATTACATAGGCATGATTGATTGAATCATCGGCCATTGGTGATTGAATTGAACCTCCGGCCGCTCTCCCCTCCCTGGAGATGAGGAGGTGGACTGAAAGTTCCTACCCTCAGTTGGGTCTCCTGTCAACTGGCCTCCATCCTTAGGTTACCTGGGGGCTCTGGCTGCCCAGAGTCACCTCGTTAACATAACAAAAGGCACCTTTACTGCTCTTAGCACTTAGGAAATGTCCATGGTTTAAGGAGCTCTGTGTCAGAAAGAGGACAAAGACCAAATATGTATTTCTTACAAATCACGGTGTCACAGTGGCAGTTCTGGTTGATGACTTAAGATATGGGGACCAGGGTAAAAAGGACAAAGGCAGATCCGTGGTCCTACTACTACCCAGCTCTAGCCCACCAAGGCCTCCCAGGTCTTGCAGACCTCCAGATTCCTCAAGAGCAGCATGAGGTCCTCAGTTTTGTGTTAGGACTCCCGGTTTTTTTTGATGCCGATTTTTTAAAAACACTGCATACAACACAAAGCCTGGGTGTAGAACTTCCCCCAGCAAGTTAGATAGCTAAGGGCCACCTGTGTTTCAATATTGCCGTTGATTTCAGGAAGAGAAAACTGCCAAACACAGCGTCACGTGTGGAACGGGAGCTCACCTGGGTAGACCTCAGGCCAAGTCTGGGAGAGGGTTTCATTGTGTCCCACATTGGCAAACAGGCAATGTCCCTGTCCCTTACATGCTACCGTTAAATACGATGATGATGGGAAATCTCCGGGCTCAGCCCCCTGCCCCACTAGCGGCTGCTTGTGTATTCACCCACTGATTCCGTCCTTGATTGATTCATACATTTCCCGCTGGCCACTGCAGCTCAGTGGACCATAGAATTGCTGTCCTGCTACAAGACAAATTTACCATTGGTTGAATGGCTTCTCTGTACCAGGCACACTGTTTTGTTCCTTGGCATTTCCAAGTGCTTTCAATTAATTTACAAACGCCTTCCACTGATGATCTCTGTTGGCCTCACCGCTGCCCTGTGGAGGGAACGGAGGAAGTGTTTCTCCAGCTACTTTATAGATAACCGAGACAGGCCAAGAGGCGGTGTCTTACCTAAGACGGCGTGGCTCCCCGGGCGGCAGAGCTGACCGCTCACCCGACTGCGTGGGGTCCCCATCACCTGGCAAATGGGCTGCCCCTGCAGGGATGTGTGACATTGACGATGCACTGGACCAGACTTGGAACCCATGTCTCTCCGATACGCTCTAATTTACAACCGGCTTATCATTTTACAGCACGTGGAGCATTGTATCAGGTGCTACGGAAATATCATCTCTTTTAAAAAAGCCATTTCCATCCTACAGTTTTGCACCTCTCACTTGTTATGAAACCAAGCATTAGAGAGGACGTGTGATAAACGGTAGTTTCAGGTGGTACCGACAGAGAGATCCATTTCCATCCACTTTGTTTATGGGAAGTTCTGCCGAGGATCAGCTTTTGTGGGCGCCAGGATTTAAGCTTAGGAAAGAGATGAGAAAGATTGGTGAGGATTTTCTGATTGTGTGCTCTGCCCCAGGAGAGCTTTTCTCTCTTTCCCACCCCTCTGTCTACCTGGTTCTTGCCAAAACCCATCCTATGCACCGCCTGCCCGGCCTCTGCACACCACAGCTCTGGATTCACTTCTCAGCAATTGCGAGGCCTGATCTTCCCCCCCCACCTCCGCTCCCATATCTACCAGACTCATCTTCACGACAACACCTCTGTCTGAATATCTCTCTCCTTCTCTTTTCCTGTCGTCTTCTTTTACCCTCCTCTTTCCCCATCTCCCTTCCTCCCTCACTCTGGCTTGGAGCATGAGCACAAAGCAACAAGGCCTGCAGTGTTTTGTACCCAGGTGAAAAATACTAGAATGATATTATATCATTTACAGGTAAAAGTGGCCTAATTCTATCTCCATGGAATCCATTATCTTGCTTATAGACCCATCATTCTAATAGGGAAAGTAATAGATCTATATGATGTTCCTGGTTGCTGCATTTTCAGTTTGAGTCCCTGGTTTATCAGACAGACAGAATAGTGTGCACGTGGCCAGACAGCTCCCATGCGACTCAGCAGGTGATGGGGAGTTTTTATGCACCTGTCGGATCATTCATTTATGATGGAGTTTAAAGACTCCCCAAATGCGATGGGTTCACATCTGGAATGGGAGGGACAGCAAGGGCGGGGAGTTTGGGGGAAAGGGAGAAACGCCCGTGTTTGCACGAGGCAGTGACTCAGCTTCCATGTCCCCTCCAGCCAGGTGGCCAGGATCGGCCGTGGGTGTCCCGTAACGGCCTGCTTTCCCTTGCAGTGTGGCACGGTGGACCAGGGCCTGTACATGAACCTGACGGAGAGGAACCTGCAGGATGCTCAGAGGTTCATTCTGATGCATGAGGTGGTGCAGCCCCTGACCTCGGTGCCCGCCTTCATGGAGGACAACAGCCGCTTCTCCCACGTGGCCGTGGACGTGGTGCAGGGCAGGGACACGCTGGTCCACATCATCTACCTGGCTACAGGTAGGAGTTGGCGCCTCCTCTGAGTTTTCGACCATCTTTTGCTTTCATGTTTTACATTCTAAACGTGTACTTCCATTGTCAAGCTGTGAGTCTGTCTTCTCTGCTCGCCCAGCAAAACCCATGGAGCAGCCTTGTCCTCGTCATCCTCTGTGCTTCTCATAGGAAACTTCGTTTCACTCTCTTTCTGCATTACACTGGTCCTGATTTTAGTCGGGAAGACTGCCTGATTTCTTCACTATTATTTTTTAACTACTCATAAAATAAGTGTTTTCTTAGCAAGACCATTTTCACTGGGATAATTTAAGACAATGGAATTTGTTAGAGTACATTTGCTAGGTGTAATATTATCCTGTGATCGTCATTGTGATTTTCATTTGGTTCAAAACAGTGCTCACAAGATGTTCTTGTTGTAGGATGTAGATACAAGCATTTGAAGAATATGTTTGGGGTCATAAACAACAAATTGTTTTAAAGAAAACATAGGCAACATTGTTGTTCAAATTATCGATGATGTCTAATCATGTCCGGTTTCCGTTTTCACCAGCATATTGGAGGCAGGTCCTGTCTTGGTTTACGGCACAGAGAGTGCAGGAGCCCTGAGACCAGCCTCAGTGACCGTGTCCCAGTTCGCATATGTGTCCAGCTTTTCCTTGCCTTCAGGTCCTCCTGCCCAGAGCTCCTGCACTGTGGAGCCCGCCCCTACCCCTACGTCCTCTGTCCAGTGCCCTGTGGAATGGCCACTTTCTCACAGAACACAGTTTCCATTGTTGTTTATAATATTTTATACCCATCAGTTGGTTGGTTTTATTCATCAAGTCACCAAGATTTATTGAACGTTTACTATTTTGTGGTTCATATGAGCCATGATGGGTCAGATGGTGAGCAGACTGGCAACGTCCTCCTCTCCTGAGGACAACACATAATCAAGCAGTCACTGCAGGCAACAACAGAGAGCTATGACAGTCTTAGGCAGTGGATGTGAATAGAGCCATGGGCTCGCAAGAGCCAGGGAGGCTCCTGTACTTGTCTGGTGAGGGTTGGCCTCTCCCAGCAGGTGATGTTTAAGCTGAGAGCTTCCTAAGGAGGAAGACCTGGCCTTGCAGGACGAGGGGAACAGCAAAGGTGTGGGAGTGGTCAGCTGTAGGCGGGGCCACCATGTTGTCAGGTAAGGTAAGGACAAAGATGTGACCTCTGGATCGCCAAAAGAGGCCACTCATGCCTCTAAAGTTCCATCTGAGGGAGGAGAGGGGAGGAAGTGAGATGGAACATCCATGATGAGCAAGGCTTCGAAGAGGATTGATGGGAGCCTGAGGGATTAGGAGGTCAAGTTTGTTGTGTGTTTTAAGAGAAGACAGAGAATTACCAGTGTGTGTCTTGTTCACCAAAGCATAAGAAGGAATCACGGCTCGTTTTCTGCCATTTTTATCCTCAATGCCCACAGAGTACCTGGTGTGAGGTAGATTGAGGAATGAGTGAACTGGATCTTTCCAAAAGTTTCCCTAGTTTTTCTTCCTAAATGTTCTGGTTGGTGCTGCAGAGAATAGAGTCCTCATGGAATTCCAGGAGGCTGTTGAGTCTCTTATCAGTACCCGGAGTGGGGATGGCGAAGGGGAGAGGAGCTGGTCCTGAGCAGGCCTTGGAAGGTCCGGGTGGGGCAGCCTGAGGCCTCAGCCTGAGTATTTTGACCTCTTCCACAACCATGGCCGTAAGAAGGTGATGTTTGCTTCCTTGTGTTTATAAGGATTTGTAGTGAGCTTTGAGGATTTCTAATGGCGCTGTCCTGGTACTTTAATTTTGACTCGTGTCTCAGTCAGTTCAGGCTACTATAACAAAATACCATAGACCAGGGGGCGGGGGGTGGTTTAAATTACAAATCTGTTTCTCACCATTGTGGACGCTGCATGTTCAACATCAAGGTGCCAGCCAATTTGTTTCCCCTGTGAGAGTCCTCTTCCTCGTTCGTAGTTGGCCATCTCTTTGCTATGTCCTCACATGCTGGAAACAGATCATCTCTCATGTATGTTTTATTTTTTTTAAGATTTATTTATTCATTTTAGAGAGAGAACATGAACAGGGGTAGGGGCAGAGGGAGAGGAAGAGAGAGAATCCTCAAGCAGACTCCCTGCTGAGCAGGGAGCCCAACTCAATCCCAGGACCCCAAGATCGTAACTTGAGCTGAAGGCAGACACTTAACTGACTGAGCCACCCAGGCACCCCTTCATGTATCTCTTATAGCACTGATTAATACATCTTGAAGGAAATACCTTCTTTTCTAAATTTTTATTTAGAATAAAATCCATTTTTAAAGGATATTTTTAGCGATCCAGCATATAGGTTTCTTCTTTATTTCCAAGGAATTGATATATGAAAATGGAATACTGGAAAGATTAGTCTGTTTTCAGGCTGATCTGTTTTCACTAACCCTGCGAAGAGCTGAACAACTTCCTGACAAGTAGGGGTGACAAAGATTAGAGATTTTGACTTAAATCTCTAAAGGCACATGTTGATGTGGTCTTTTATTTACATCTTCCCAGTGGAGCTCCATCCAGGCAAACCAGGAACATTCCTCGTCTTTGATATTAAAGCTAATACAGAACACACATGGCTGGGGTCCTTCCAGCCCCATTGCAGCACCTGCTGGACCTCATCCAGGAATTTATAAATGCTCCACCTGTAGAGTGTGAGTGTAGCATTCCTCAGGGGCCAACATGAAGCAGAGTGGCTTCCTAACTTGCTATCTTGGGTTTGGGCATCCGGGTCTGGTGAGAAGTTTATTTACTACCCCCTGGATTTTACTTGAATTAACAGGAACTAGAGAAAACCTGCCAATGGCCATTTGAACATTGGTTTATTTTGTCAGTATTATTTAAAAATCGAAGTGAAATAGACCTTGTTAATAGTGCAGGTCCTGGTGCTTCTTGCAGCTCGAATGGTTTTTCCCTGCTGGCCGCCACCCCACTGAGTCAATGGCCTTTCCCTGACACGCCCCCGGTCAGCTAGCTGTTAGTCTCTTTCTCTCTCACTGGAAATCTGGGCTCATTATCTGGGCCACGCTGTGCCGCTGTCTTAAAAGCTCTTTCTTTGAAGGTCTTCTCAGAGCAAGAGGCAAAATGGCAAATGGTAACTCCTTTAGGATATATATGCCTGGGGAGGGGGTCGCCGGTTGGCTCAGTCGGTTAAGCATCTGATTCTTGATTTCCGCTCAGGTCATGATCTCAGGGTCCTGGGATCCAGCCCCACATCAGGCTCTGTGCTCAGCCCAGAGTCTGCTTGTCCCTTTCCCTCTGCCCATGCCCCGCCCCCACCGACTCGTGAGCTCTCTGTCTCTCTCTCTCACTCTAAAATTTAAAAAATAATAATAAAAGAAGAAGATGCACACGTGGACTTTGTAAGTGACTCAGTCTCACATCTGGACAGCTGCTCGGCTCCCCCTGCAAAGACAGAATTAGAGACGTGTTGACTGCTCATGTGTTCTGCAATTCTCCTCCTCGCTTGCTTGGCAGAACGCCAGCTCCCTGGCACTCTGCCTCTGATGGTCCTTGGCTGGCCCTGCCCTGCCTGCCTGCCTGCCTCTCACGTGTGGCTGTTACTCAGGCTCTGCCCGGAGTCATGGGGGTTGTATTTCATGCCACCTCCCTGGAAATACCATTCAGTTTCAGGGTTTCTACTATCCCTTCCAGGATGAAGTATATTACTTTTATTTTTACTTTGTCTCCATTCCAGTGTGTCTCTAATTGAATGTGTGTCTTTACTGCACAGATCTGCTTCTGCTCCCCTATTCTCTCTTGTTCTTTTTGAGGCAGCACATCCTGGAGATTCGAACCCTCTGCCACCTCTATTAGCCATCCGTTTTATTTTTCCATAGCTATTTATTCCATTTCCAACTCTAACTATTCTACAAGTACTTTAAACCTGTGTTTGTTCATCTAGAGAAGGGATAAGACCTGGATTCTGATTTAGTACAGAGAGCTGGGACACACACACACAAAGAGAAAGGAATATGTATTTAGAACAAGAAAAGAACTAATAACAAATAACAAATTTTATTTTAGTTTTTAAATTTTATTTTATTATTCTTTATTGAAGCACAGTTGATACGCAATGTTACATTAGTTTTAGGTATGCAACATAGTGATTTGACAAGTTTATACATTATGCAGAACACTGGGATTTCTAACAGGCTCCCAGGTGAACTTAATGCTGTGCATTTTTGGACCATATTCAAGTTGTGCTGTTCTGGATGAAATAAGAATTTTCTTGGCCTAGAATCTCTCTAGAGATGTACCTTACCTTTCTCTGTGGTTAGTCACCAACATCGTTGTGATTGGTTCCTAACTGTTTGTGATGCAGCTATGAAATCTGCTATCTAACCTGAGCCTAACGGATGTGTTTACTGTTTGTTTCAGTAGCTGTTGGTATGATTTGCTAACTAGTTCACAAAACATCTGAGACTTGATTTGAAAGAAAATGTTTAAGATGCAGCAAGCTAGTACAGAATGATTAAATTATGATTAAAAAATGATTAAAATATATCAGGCAATGGGGTGCTGGGCGCCTCTGACTCGTGTTTACGAGCTCAGGTCATGATCTCAGGGTCATGAGATTGAGCCCTGCGTTGGGTTCTATGCTGGGCGTGGAGCCTGCTAGGGTTCTCTCTCTCCATCT